TGCTAAGCCTACTGGTTTTTATATTTAGATTTACATTTCCCTCAGGTTTTAACAGTCATAATGGAGGCCCCCGCATCCCTTAAACAGTCCCCAAAATAAGCAGACAATTGCCAAACAATGTTGCAGAAATTATGAATTAATGAATGAATGTCACATTTATATAGTGTTTTTCAAGACACCCCAAGCGCTTTACAGAACCAATGGGGAGCCACTTCAGCCACCACCACTGTGTATCATCCACCTGGATGATGCGACTGCAGCCATTCTGTGCCAGTTTGCTCACCACACAGTGGCTAAGGTGGTGAAGGGGCAGGAGAGAATTCACCAATTAGATATAGGAGATGAATAGGATGTAATTTTACCAGGACATCGAGCTACCACCCCTACTGGTTTGACCTCAGAGAGTGAAGACCTTGGTTTTATGTCACCTTTGAAGGATGGCACCATTTTTATAGCACAGTGTCCCCATCACTGGACTGAGGCATTGGGACCCCAGGATGGGATAACCTGGTGGCCACACCAACACCAAACCCAGCCTCAGCATGTCTGTAGGTCCTTAAGCAAGGCCCTTAACCCCCAGCTCCCTGGGCGCACCAACAGGTGGCTGCCCTTTGCTGACAGCTTGTTCTACAAAGAGCAAGTTGATGGATGTGTAAAAAGAATTTCCCCATGAGGGACAATAAAGGTTAAATTATTATTATTAACTTGCCCAGTTGGTCTCCCACTCAAGTACTGGCCAGGCCCAAACCTGCATAACTTCAGATGGATTACCTAGTCTGAACTGCAGGTGGTATGACTGCTGAAAAATAGATAGCAATACAAAAGATGATTGTGACACTGTCAGTCAGTGCACTGCGAAGGTTAGATGAATGGCTATGAGCACAAATGACCTTTCTGCAGAGGTATGATCTGAGCACGCATTGGTGGAGGAGGTGGTTTGATAGGGGTATGCATTTTCTGTATCTCCAGGACTTACTGTGCTGGTTGCCAAATGGGAGAAGATCAGGACAGGAATTTGATGATGATTGATAACCGTAGGCTATACCTATCTGAAGCATAATTAGAGCTATGTCCAATCTGAATTTAATAGGAATTTACAACATTCTTGTAGAAAATGTAGAACTTGTAGAAACAAAAAAGGTTAAGCACCCAGAAGTAATGGCCCAATTTGGATGTAATTTGGTACATGTGCAGACCAGTGTTGGGTATGTAAATGATTCGATTTGCAAGGAGCTGGCACCTCTAGTCACCAGACACAGAGGATGCCTCCTAGATGCATTAGACAGCATTACCAGCACTTGACAGAGTTTGATAGGGTTCGCATTGTGGGTTTGCATGAAGCTGGGTGGTAATGTTGCACAATTGTCTGGCATGTGGGTCATGCAGATGTCACAGTCAGCCAAAGTTGGAACCAATGGGCACGTGAGGGTACCCACACACGTCGTGAAGGTTCTGGTCCCCCAAGACAGACCCCACCAAGGGAGGATATTGTGTGCAAAGCATTTCAGAACCTCATGACATCTGCACCTGCCATCCGGACACAGGTATTGGACTCTCTACAACACCCCATGTCATTCCGCACCGTGTCTCGACGACTGGCATCAGCCAGACTATGGGTTCACCATCCCATTTGTAAGCTGCCATTAACACCAGCACAGAGATGACTGCGTTTGGACTGGTGCCATAACCAGGAGGCATGGACTAATGACAAGTTGCGTTGTACGTTGCTGAGAGAAGAATCTTGGGTCTGCATTACCACGGATAAGCATTGTGCATGCATATGGCGGTGCAGATGACAGAGGACCAATGCTGTAACTGGTGTAGAGAAACACACCGGCGTTACTCCTGGCATCATGGTGTGGGGAGCCGTAGTGTGTGACTTCAGGTCATCTCTGGTAGTGATTCAGGAGACCCTGACAGCACAGCGGTACGTCAGTGACATCCTGCGTCCGCATGTATTACACCTCCTGAGACAGCACCTTGGTACAGCCTTTCAACAAGACAATGCCCGTCATGTCTGCGTCATGTTGAGGTCCTCCTGTGGCCAGCCTGGTCCCCCAATCTTTCCCTAATCAAACATGTTTTGCATCAGCAAGGATGTCAACTCAGACCAAGTGCCAATCTGCAGGATCTCGAGGGCCAGTTACAACAGCTGTGGGCCGACTTGCCGCAGGAGAGGATTCCACGGCTGTATGACTCCGTTCGACAACGTATCGCCGCATGTATCTAGGCCAGCGGGAGTGCCACGCCCTGCTGACATGGGACCAACAGTGTGCCCATACTGCCAACTGTGTGTGTGTGTATATTATATATATTTATACACACACACACACAAACATATATATATATATATGTACAACAACTACGACAACTCCACCACGTCTAATAACCTTAAATATACTGATGTTTTAAACCTGCAGGTTATATCAATGTACTTCTTGCCTACTACTGCAAACACGCCTTGTAACGGTATTGCACAATGCTGCACCCGCATCGCATCCTGTTCCCCTGTTTTATATTTTTAAACACAGCTCATCCTTAAAGAAGACAAAATTAATATACAAACATACATACACACATAGGGAAAGCGTTATCAGTCAGTTTATTACAGGTTTGAGTGTTTTGTATGTTTGTATGAACACCAAATGCACACAAGTAAAAATACACACAACAGGCCCAAGAACTATTTGGGTCATACGATTGTCAAATTAGAGCATATAACGTATACACTTACTCAGTTTACTCTTTATGTTTAAAAAAAAACCTGGAAAATATCTTTAGTAGTGGCATAGCATACTGGCTACATACCGGTAGCCCAACAATTAACATCTCAGTTTTCGTGTGAAATCTGGCTCTATGCCGTTATTATCCATGTGAGGCGTCAAGGCTTTTATCTAGATTAACCCAGAAATGCATGTGCATATATATTACAAAATACACATACATACACAGGAGCGCGCGTGCTCGCACACACAGAGCTGTACTCATGTCTTTGTGGGGACAGTGAATTCATTTCAATGGGCAAAACCCTAATCCCAACAATGACTACCTTATCCCGGCCCTACCCAGTCCTAACCTTTACCACAAGTAACCAAACACAATGCACGTATTTTGGTATTTTTAGTTTTTTGATTGCAGTCACAGATTTTTTTTTAATATATATATATAACATTGAATTCCGAACCGAAACAAAGTTCCCACAACGTCAAAATAAGCTTTTATCAAATTGCGGGCACATTTGACACCCACAACGTATTGTATTCCTGGAGCGCGCTCGCGCGCACACACACACACACACATTATTAGCGAGTATGACGAATGTTGAATTGTCTGCTTAGGCGTCTAAGCTCTTCTGAGTCATACAGCCTCAGCAAATACGTCAAACACCGCGGGTCTGTGGTGAAGCTACTCCACCCGAGATCTTTCAGACCGACAGTCAGCTCCTTATGCACGTCAGTCTAACCGGACTCAGCTTGTCGGGAATCAGCGTGACCACTTTTGTCACTTTTAAATATCCCCCAGGGTAATCCGGGTTAGGAGTTTTATGCACTCCAGTTTAAAGCGGAAATATTATTGCTCACGGGGCAATGAAAAGCAGACCTGTGCCAGACATCGCTATAGAGAAACATTACCCGCTTTAAAACCTGTTCCGTTAAAACCTGCATTCATGGTAACAGTATTCATTAGCAGTTATGATCACAAGCTCAGAACAACGTATAGCTAAGAACACACCACTAAATAAAGACCTTGTTCATCTTGAAGGTTTCTATCAGTGACTGTTTATATTACAAGCAATTGAAAAATAAGCCAATGTCATATATAACTTTATTTAGAGTAAGAAAATGAAAAAAAGTATCAGATGACCGCATTCTAGTTAGATTGTTTATTGTGCGGGATTTTGCTAAATCGGGAATCAGAATTTTTCTTTACTGCCATCTAGTAGCTGTCCACACAACTACATGTACGTACAGTACCAAAAGTTTTACGTGGGTTCGTAGGACTGTATCCAGGAACTAGGTTTGTGTTTGAAAGCACAATTTTCAGTCAGCATGAACAGTGTTTTACATAACGTGAAACCGGAAATGGCGATAGCTGATAGAATACTTCCAAGAACATTTTGTCAAGGCAAAGAGGTAGAACAAGAGATGTGATTGGAGGACACAATCTGTTGGAGATATGAGAGCACTCTTACTTGGAAGAAACGTTTTCCATATGGGGTAGCAAATCCAGACTCTGGACCTTAGGCTGAAGGAGGATTTCATACTGGAGCAAATGAGGACTTTTTATTAGGTACACTCACTCGTCAATGCAAATAAACTACACCTGCAAACAGCAATTCAAATGGCTGCAGCTGAACACATACAGAACACAGACAGGGTACTGTTCAGCTGAGCCTTAGAAGACTCCTGTTCTTTGTGATCTTGAATGTAGTGTGATAGTTGGGGCCTCGCATGCTGGACCCGGCATCTCAGAAACAGCCACCCTCTTCGGATTTTCACACACTACAGTGTCTAGAGTTTTCAGACAATGGTGTGATGAATAAAAAAATACATCCAATCAATGGGATTTCTCTGGTCAAAAACACCTTGTTAATGAGAGAGGCTAGTGGAGAATGACCAGACTCATTTAAGCTAACAGGAAGGCTACAAGTACAGAAGTGACAGCTCAGTGGTGTTCAGGAAGGCTTCTCAGAAGTCATTAACCCTTGAAGTGGTTCTGGAGGCAACAGGGGGTCATAATTCATACAATTTTTATCAACTGCAATTATCTTCAGCATGTTTTTGGACTGTGGGGGGAAACTGGAGTACATGGGGAGAACATGCACACATTTAACCCAAGCAGAGACTCGAACCCAGGTCCCAGCGGTGTGAGGCAACAGTGCTAACCACTACACCACCATATGAGGTAATACGTAAAAATTTAATTCCTGTATACCTGTACAAATGGCAAATAAAGTATTATCACTTTTATTACCATTCAAATAAAACCGAGACACAAAAAGCCTTTAAATTGGTGTATCCAATATTTAATATTGCACATCAGATGTAGAAACAATTACTTATTAAATACATTTTATATTAGGTAGATGACAATATTTTATTCAAAGAAAAAAAAAATCAAGAATGGGTGCCTATGGGTATCAATTCTGCATCCTCGATGAGGTCAGAGAGGCATGAAGGAAGGAGGGCGAAGGGAGTCCAGAGTCTGCTGCATGCTGGGATGCCTAGAGCAGGCCTCCGAACCAGGCCAGGAGCTGTCCTGCTCTGGTAGACCAGGGCAGGCAAATGCAGAGCTGGGCTCTGCTGCTGTGAGAGCTGGAGTAGAAGAAACTACAGCAGGGCTATGCAAATTGCTCCTGTCAGGGGAACACACCCGGATCACTCTCCCTTCTGTGGATGTGGGCTTGATGACAGAGAGCTGGTGCTTATGGGATAATGCCCTATGGTCATAGAGATCCAAGGGTTCCTGCTTCACCGCTACTGCTTTCGAAGTGCGGCTTGCTGGCAGTGCACCGGATAGCTCTTCCTGAGGATGGTCATCACTGGGGAGCTGACAGATTGACCTGTGTGACACAAGCACCAGCTCCAGCTTGTCCCTTTCCATCTGCAAGGTCTCGATCTCTTTCTGAAGTCCGGCTTTCTCTTCCTCCAGCTTCTCCGTCTCCTGCACGGACAATGCAAGCGGAATATTCACCACTGCCACAGAAAAAGGACCATCCATTTGTTTTCAGCTGACAGCATTATTTCTGCCAGCAAAGACGGACAGTTTTGGTCCAGAAAGTACAAATCCAGACCAAGATATTGTTTTAACCAACCAGTTAAGTATTCTGTGACGAAGTCTTTAAAGTCAGCTGGATGGTCGAAGCAAAATTTTGGTCTGGGTTTGTCTTTCCGAAGCTGAACTTTCCACCTCTGACTGCCAGATCTGTTTCTGGGTATTACTATTGCTAAGTGCATGGGGGGGGGGAGGCAGCACTGTTTCCCAATACCACCAGAGTTGGGGGTTTGAATCCCACCTCTGCTCTCTGTGTGGAGTTTGCATGTTGTCCCTGTGTCACATGGTTTCCCCTGGGTACTCCAGTTTCCCCAGCCCTGTGCCCCATTACCCCTGCCTTCGGCCTCCGTGACCTAGATCAGGATGAATAGTTGGAACGGGGTGGCCAATCTTATCCGCAAAGGGCCAGTGTGTATTCAAGTCTTTGGGATAACCTTTAGGTCAGCTGCTCAATCCCAGGGGTGAGGAAGCTAATCAGTCCTCTAATTATTAATCTAACGACGGAGTTGCATTAAAAAGCCACATGCCCAATGGTCCTTTCTGGATAAGACTGGCAACCCCTGAGTTGGAAGATACATATGGAGAATATGCAAGCAATACGTAAAGCACAGTGGTTTGGACAACAAACCAAAAACATAAGCTCTCTTTTCTTTTTAAATCTTGAGCACTTTGAAAGCATAATATCAATTTAAAAAAGGTGTTTAAAACATGATTTCCAGTTCTGTTTTGCCAGGCATAAACACTTTCAGTTTTTGCTCTAGCTAAACTTGACAAACTTGAAAAATGACACGGTGCAGCACCTGTCCATTTGTGATAATATAAAAAGTAAAACACTACATTTTCCTACTGGCACTGAACCATGAATGTCATTATGATTAAGGAGAAGTGGGTTATTGCCTTATTAGGACATGATTTTGCATTCGTTTTTTATTGTTTTATTATTTTTTTTACTTTGCAGTATATATATATTTCTTACTGAAGCTGAGGGTATGCTCACATGTTTAAACCAGCCAATGGGTATTATGTTTATGTGGCTAAAGCTGGTGATATGCTAAAGATCTACAGAAAAGAATTTCACCTGTTGGTTTATACTGCAGTTAGGTGTTGGGCAGGTAGGGGGCGATCTTTAAAACCTACCCCCTGGAGTTGATCAGTCAGCTCTTTCCTGCGACTGCGGCACTTTGCAGCCGCCATCTTGTTCCTTTCACGTCTTAGTCGCCTCTTCTCTTCTTCTTCTGGGGTGAGCTAGAGGCACGAGACTGAGTGAGGGAGGGGGTAATCTCCCACATGGACACGTGCGCACGCAGCCTTCTATGATAAACTGTGAGAATGCATCATGCTGCATTTCCCAAAAAATACAAAGGTAGTAGGTTCAAATCTTGGTGGGGTGCAAATAAAATAGTAACGTAAAAATGCATCAGATGGACGAATAAATGTGATTAGAATTTTTTTTGTAGTAACCTGTGAGTAGATCCCGTATACTCCTTGATGATTGGCATTCACTTTGTGACAGGAATTACAGAAAGATCATGGGTGGTGTTTCAGCATGATGAAGGCCTGGCAGCTGAATCTCACCTGCTCTTCCCGTTTGCACCGCCCACGAGTGACACCAACGGAGCAAATGACACCAGGCCGGGTGTGTCCCAACGGACCAGGCTGGTCGTAGAGATGCATTCTGTGCCTGGGACTGGGCATGGTGGTGATGACCGTGGGCTGGACCATCCATTGGAGGTCTGGGCTGGAGGTTATGGCATTTACCGTGGGGATGAAGGCACTGCTAGACACAGGCATGCTGACCTTTTCTGAAGAGGACAGGCAGCGAGATACATACACAGGACAGCATTAATTTCATTCACCCATTATACGTTTTCAGTAATTGGGAATCTAATTAGGAAGCCCACATAAACACAGAAAGCGTGCAAAGAAAGAGGACTGGGCCAGATTCAGAGCCACAAACAAGAACGATGAAGCAACAATGAAAAAAATGCTTTCATTTTTATGGCATCCTGCTCTTCAGTGTAGCTTTAAGCAATTACAAAGAAAAATAAGCCTTGTGAATAAAAGAGAGGTTATTTGGGAGAAATAATTTCTAGAATATGCATGTTTTCAAATGAGGATACAATTTACTGAAACTATTGTGCTGTTCCTAGATGAATTCCACATTTTCTGAGTGCCACAGGTAACACACCTTTATAAGATAACCAGGTAGTGTCAACACGTGCCCAGACGAGTACATTACAAGCAGCACTCATCTAGTTCTGAACCATCTAATTTAACATGTTGCTGCCTTTAACCGAAAATAGTTTGTTTACCTTTAATATCCCTACATTAAAAGTCAAGTAATCAAGACTCATTTTCAACAAAATTAAATCAGACGGATTTTTAAAAATCGATTGCGCCTACATTTCATTTAATGTTTTGCGTATAATTATCGGGACACTGGTTTATTGGATTTTATATAAAGAACATGTAAAACGCATCTATTGCAATTTTTGTTGGCTATTTTGTTACATAGACGAACTTACAACAAAACAGGTCTTCCATTTGCGTTTAAAATAATAATATTGTTAAAATAATCGGCTAATCAGTGCGGTCAATATACCCAATAAACGACTCGCAACGTTAAATAGCCTACATTAATAATAATAATAACATACATTTTACTGTTACAGTAAAATGTATGTTCAGTGAGTCCTCGTCAAAGTAGTTTATAATGTGTGATAATTTGGACGTGATAAGGATCCTTGTTTCAGTATAACATTACAAAACAGTGAACACCCATTTGTCCAATGTGGTGATGATGCAACCATTCATGTCCTTGTCTGCCATATTCTTTAAAAAATATATAACAAGTGGCGTTTGGATACACCGGAACTTTTGAAAATTTAAATAAAGAATCACATGCACCATACTACTTGAGATACACAAAAGCAGTCATGTCTGAATAGTAGAGCGAAGCACATGTGGGCGATTCGCTTTACCTGGTAGGTGAAGTTAGAGGTAACAGTTTCAATGCTGCCGCTGGAGGACCAGGGTTCACCCGGAGAAGCGACTGCGAAGCGGCGACGCGGTACAGATACGGGCGTGATCCTGCGTCGCGGTGTGGGATCATTCAGCACCGGTCCGACCTCCTGTTTCTGTTAGCCCTGACGCCAGCGCTTCAAAATAAGCAACCGTTTCTTCATTATTTCCATTTTCAAGCTGTTCTCTTTGACGGAGCGATTATGTTTCAGTTTTGCAACACCGAGTAGTATAAAGGAAAAAGTTGACAGCAATATTCCGTAATGCTTCCGTCTACAGTTTCGTTTTTAATGCAGTGATTAAATATCGGAAAGGTTTGTCCTGTTAAGAAAATGTCTATTAAGTTACCTTGTTGCTGCTGTTGAGTATGCGAAGTCCACTCCGAACTCTTATTCTTGAAATCTGAAAATGCGAATTACTCTTCACCTTTTACGGATGTTACATTTAAACGTTATAGCGATTCTTTATTACGAAATAGCTCCCTTTTCGTAATATACCTAACACTCAAAGCAGTTTTACCTTGCTTTACGTGGTTCTTCCCGTTTCGTGTATCGCTTTAACAAATGACTCACTTCAAAGGCATCCTACCGATCAATTAAAATGCTGACTTGCTTGCGTCACTGTCTCCAAACGCCTCCGTAAGAGGGAGTATTATCGTTATTTTCTCCACCGCTCAACTACACCAAGGATGTAACATTTAAATGTGGGGATGTCGGAACTAAATGTACGGGTGCTTGATATGCCATCTTGAAATAAATCACCTGATTTACTATGTTAAGGTCTAACCTTTTTTTTGTCATTGACGTGTAGTTGCGTCAGAAAACGCAGGTGGGTTTCCATGATTAAAATAACGTCGAACACCGAAGGGATTCCCTCTGTAGGATCTAGTTCTTCTGATGCCTTGTGTAGTCAGAGATAAAATAAGTGTCTCTGACCTATAAATGTAGTCGCACATTATTTTATACTGAATATATGTATATAACAAAATCATTGCCGTAATTTGCCAGTTTACTTATAATTACGTGTAACCTGTAAATGTAAAAGGTCTTGATTTCACATTGTTTCCATATCAACTAGATCTATTCCATTACATGGTACCCTTGTCTTATGTTGTACACACTTTAATATATCTCGAAGATATCTCTATTCATTGCTAATTATCTTGCTATTTTTATATTCAATATACATACTGGTTACTTTATATTAATCATTTACATTACATTTTATTTCGCCAACACAAACATATATATATATATATATATATATATATATATATATATATATATATATATATATATATCAGCAAAATATAAACCAATTAACATAATTGTAATTTAATTGTAACCCAATACAAGGAAAAGTGGACAAGTGGCATGTTATTTGAAATATTGGAGGAAAAATAAATTAAGCAGGCTTTATTTGGGCCTCTGGATCCCACAAGTGCAGAAACGCTCCTGCTTGTAGAAGCACACTTATTGTTCTCCGCACACAGTGCAGACCTGTCCTAAGGTCTCGCCATATCGACACTGCTGCTTTATACCTAATTCGCCTTTTATGGAATATAAATTACAGCTGTTTCACTATTCTAATTAACACAATATCCACATATATTTATGAAAGTCTACCAAGCTAACAAAGTGTGTTCCAATATTTGTCAACTAAATAAATAAATGGGTTACAAGAGGCTTTGTGGTTGCTCTGTCAGAAAAATGGTAAAAAAAATAATAAAAAATCAAGGAAGCAATTTGAACATGTTCTTCCAGGACCCACCATGGTGTAGCACATTTTCATATGTTACAGCATCCTCCTTTTCTGAAGTACGTTACTGACTGGCAATTTGTTGATAAAATTATGGTGTTGACTGTACTAGAATAACAATGGAGCTTTTTGTTTTTGTTGGCTGGCACAATGGAAAGGCAAAATTGTGGCTGGCCCCTAATGACTTTAGGATTTTGGTTTGACGCGCTAACGTCACTGGAGTTATGAGGACAAAAGACCACTATTGTGTGAGAGGACTGCTTTAGTACCCCCTTATCACCAATTAGTTCTTCATTGCTGAGTGTTTGGAGATTTCAAGCAGAAAATAGTTAAAAATATCTTCAAGGGAGTTTTGATGCAGTATGTTTATTCTGCTGGAGAGAAATTCGTTTTATTTCAGAAATTGTAGAAGCTGAGAATTAGTTGCGAAGAGGAGAGTTGTAATTGTTACTCCTGGACTGCCAATGAATGCACCTTGGCAGGAAATAACATAACACATCTTAAATTGTTTTTGTTTGCAGATATTTTCCTGGCCCAAGTGAATGGATTTTAAGACTGTGATCTCCTGTTCTGTTACTATCTAGGGACCAATATAAAGTTGTTGTGTATGAGCACAGGGTCTAATAAATGACACGATTTAAGTGTGCATTCATAACAGTTCAGGGCACATTACCATGTTGTGTATATGTTTGTGCTTTTTAAATATCAGAACACTATGATGTGTTGACACTGCACTGGATTATGCTAATAGCCTTCTATTCATATCTCCTTACTCTGCCTGTATGTCCTGTCTTGTGTGTAATTCATAGATGTCTCTGCTGATCCCCTCCATGAACGTTGCATCAAATGCTTCCCCAGCCTTGGGCCAAGCTGCAGTGCGGGGGTGGTGGAAGGCTGTCTGGATCGAGCCAGACAGCTGGAGAACATGGGAGGGAACCAGTGCTTCACTCAGGGCCAGATGCACGTCAATCCTCCTGGCTGTGGAGATTCAGTAGACAGGAATTTGACACATGTGCCCCTGACCTATCTATCACTATCTCAGCATTCCAAAGATGTTATCATTAGTGTGCGTATGGCCTTATGTAAACTACTTATTAGTAAAGCATTGAACCAAACTTTATTGGCAAAGAGTTAAAAAGTACATGTTCCTGGGCCAGGGTAGAATCGACAAATTCAGAGGGACAGTGACAGGACAGGCAAGGCAAGCAATGGCCTGGGGCCCCTAGCTGTAGGGGGGCCCCAAGATCAGGCAATTAAATAGTACATTGACTGTTAAATAGTACATTGACTGTTAAATAGTACATTGTACTGTATTTCACAAAAGTGAAAATAAAGGTGTTTATTCTCTTTGTTGATATTTTTAATTTACACTTCACAGTAAAATAAAGGTGATAATTTTTACCATGCCAGGGGAATAGGAGGGCCCCATGGAGTTTTTTGCTTGGGGTCCCCAGAGTCCCTAGAATTGTCTCTGGATTTATTAATGTTCTAGAAAAGCTGATACAAGCAGAGAGCATCATAAATATTCCCAGGTGATCAGAAACATCGTGGTAGGTACTGTGCCTCTTTCTCTGCCACGTGTTCTTTTTGCAAGCTGATTGACTTACAGGTTTTACAAACAATGCATGAATGTATGTTCATTCCCTGTCTTCTGCTTAAGCACATTTCTAATGTAAGGCTAATGCAAAGGTAACTAATGAATGTGGGTAGTTGTACTAAACCAGAGAAAGACTTGCACGTATTCAGCCCTTGGTGAAGCCTTGGGATGTTGCCTAGCAACGCAGTGCTAAATCAGAGGGCTAATAGCAGCGTCAAAGATCAAGAAATATTTGTATTCTTGTAATATTTTCCAACCTAACCTTTGTTTGTAATAATGGGAAGTGTTATGGGAAATCTAAGCAGATTATTTAAATGTAGTACAATCTACCATCTCCAAATATTTGTCAAATCACTGACGTCCATGTAAAAACACTTATGTTAAGAAATGACAGAGATGTACATAAGGTGTATCAGGGTAAAGTATGAAGATGATAAAATAGTAAATCACAGTAGTAGGGGAGTGTTTGTTTGCTTTGCTTCCTACAGTGTGCGGGATTAGTGTAGGTGTACTTGCCAGTCAGAACACCTTCATGGGAACCAGCCATGAGATCTTTCATTTATAATAAACAATGATCACTTTGTAGGGAAAGCCTTCATCTGGCTGTGCTTAGAAGGACAATGGATGGCTGTTGTACAGAGGGCTGCTATAAAATGCACTTCCCTTAAAATTGGTCCATTGCCATGGCAACACAGACACACAATAGTGTCTGATCAAGGAGAACATCTTGTTTTCTTTTTTTTTCTTTTTTTTTACCACAGTGTGAAATAAGAGTAATAGAGCTGGGAATATTCACGATACAGTGTCTATGTCCCAGACAGAAAGGTGCTTAAGATTTACCATCACTGGTTAATTCAAGCATATTCAGTAGAAAATGCATAAAATTAGACATTGGTTGGACTATAGGAACTAGCTGGCCAGGTCGTAATCAGACAAGATGAACCGAGCCTGATGAAAACAGACCCCACAACTGTCAAAGGAATCAAGGGCAAAACCCATAGGTGCTGACATCAGATGAGACTGAATTTCTTTAAAATGAATGATTTATTGCTATAGATCGAGTTTCTTTCAGTGATGTCGGACACAAGGTTTATCTTTGCATAAATATCATGGTTGTGAATTCCAAACAGGTCTTTATTCTTTTACAAAGTTTCAATGAATCAGATATTTGTATAAATTAACAAATAATTCCTAATTAGTAAATGTTTATTTTAGCCCTAGACCTTTGTAAAGTATTGCAGCAATCGTAGCTTCTCAAAATTTTCTTTCTATACATATTTTCAAAGGTCATTGATATTTACATTTGTGGGATGCACATCCAGGGCACGAAGCTCCCTTCCCACCACATCCCAAAGATGCTCTATTGGCTTGAGATCTGGTGACTGTGGGGGCCATTGTAGTACAGTGAACTCATTGTCATGTTCAAGAAACCAATTTGAAATGATTCGAGCTTTGTGACATGGTGCATTATCCTGCTGGAAGTAGACATCAGAGGATGGGTACATGGTGGTCATAAAGGGATGGACATGGTCAGAAACAATGCTCAGGTAGGCCGTGGCATTTAAACGATGCCCAATTGGCACTAAGGGGCCTAAAGTGTGCCAAGAAAACATCCCCCACACCATTACACCACCACCACCAGCCTGCACAGTGGTAACAAGGCATGATGGATCCATGTTCTCATTCTGTTTACGCCAAATTCTGACTCTACCATTTGAATGTCTCAACAGAAATCGAGACTCATCAGACCAGGCAACATTTTTCCAGTCTTCAACTGTCCAATTTTGGTGAGCTCGTGCAAATTGTAGCCTCTTTTTCCTATTTGTAGTGGAGATGAGTGGTACCCGGTGGGGTCTTCTGCTGTTGTAGCCCATCCGCCTCAAGGTTGTGCGTGTTGTGGCTTCACAAATGCTTTGCTGCATACCTCGGTTGTAACGAGTGGTTATTTCAGTCAAAGTTGCTCTTCTATCAGCTTGAATCAGTCGGCCCATTCTCCTCTGACCTCTAGCATCAACAAGGCATTTTCGCCCACAGGACTGCCGCATACTGGATGTTTTTCCCTTTGCACACCATTCTTTGTAAACCCTAGAAATGGTTGTGCGTGAAAATCCCAGTAACAGAGCAGATTGTGAAATACTCAGACCGGCCCGTCTGGCACCAACAACCATGCCACGCTCAAAATTGCTTAAATCACCTTTCTTTCCCATTCTGACATTCAGTTTGGAGTTCAGGAGATTGTCTTGACTAGGACCACACCCCTAAATGCATTGAAACAACTGCCATGTGATTGGTTGATTAGATAATTGCATTAATGAGAAATTGAACAGGTGTTCCTAATAATCCTTTAGGTGAGTGTATATATATATAGTTAAGGACAGTTCCTGCCTGGAAAATAAGTATATGCCA